CAAGCACCCCACATGTGAGAGGCAAGGGGACTCACAAAAATCAAGCACCTCGAAGGGAACAGAGAACTACCACGTCCACGTCGTTGTTCCTGGGTAGCGCTAAGAGTAGTTCATCAATGACTTTGATGGTCCATAACTCGGACCCCAGTGGGCGGATTGTGGACCACAACCAGTGTTTCGTAAAGGGCTTGAAACCAGCTTTCTCATCCCATGGTGAAAAACTAGGGGTTCCATTTAAAAAAACCATCGTGACCCCTGAATGACCTTCAAAATGACCTTCCAAGGATTTTTCAAGGTCAGTACCATACTTCCCCCGTGTAACCCTAAACTTTTCATACGAAACATTTTTCTCTATCCCTACTAGTTTTCGAGATATTTGATTGGATCACTTCAGATGGTCCACCCTGTATACATATGTATATTAGATTGACAAGGAAAAAAAAATGATTTTTTTTAATCGGCCTCTCAGCTCAAAAGCTTTCATTTCATGCCAAAAGAACATCCCTACATTTTTATCAAAAAATATTAAGATTTAGAGTTCGCTAGTAAACGATTTTTAAATCAAAATTTTGATTTTTCTTAATACATGTTTGATTTGATGCAAAAATGGCTTAATCCGGATTTTAAATGTGATACTGTATGTTTTTTTGGTCACTGAACACGATGTACTAATTCATTTAGCTCCACGATATACGCCTTAAGAAATATAGCCTGATTAATGTGAAAAAATGACCAAATTTCAAATTTACGGTCGATTTTAACAAGGTTTCAAGCGTTCAAGTGGATTGTTACTCCCCTCAAATTGTCTGTTCATCCAGAAAAAGATCCAGTTGGAATTTTCCCGGAATCTCCTACAGAACTTTTAAAAGTAGCAATTAACTGGGTTATGATTTTTAAGGATAGAAAAATTTTTTTTACAAATTCTAAAGTATATCGCTTTGTGATTTTGACATCCTCAAATTAAATGCCTTAATTTGACAAAAAACTTTATTAGAAAATGAAATGAATACAAAAATGGATTTAAAAAATATACTATATAATATGTAGTTTATTTCAATTGATTAAATTATTTTTTTTATTATATACTTATTTCATTTTCTAATAAAGAATTTTTTTTCTCGTCAAATTGAGGCATTTGATTTGAGGATGTCAAAACCACAAAGCGATATACTTTAGAACTTGTAAAAGAACTTTTTCTATTTCTAAAAGCGTTTTATAATCCAGTTAAATGCAACCTTTAAAAGCTCTGTAGGAGATTCCGGAAAAATTCTAACTGTATCTTCTTGATGAACAGACCTACAATTTAAGAGGAGTAACTTATTTGAACGCTTGAAACCTTGCTAAAATCGATCTTGAACTCAAAATTGTCATTTTTTTCACATTAATCAGGTTATATTTTTTAAGGCGTATATTGTAAAGATAAATGAATTATTGCATCGTGTTCAGCGACCACAAAGACATGCAGTACCACATTTAAAATCCGGATTAAGCTATTTTTGCATCAAATCAAACATGTATTAAGGAAAATCAAAATTTTGATTTGAAAATCGTTCACTAGCGACCTTTAAATCTTAATATTTTTTGATAAAAATTTATGTTTTCTTTTGGCATCAAATGGAAGCTTTTGAGTTGAGAGATTAAAAAAAAACTTTTTTTCTTGGGAGTCTAATATACATATAGTAAAAAATATATAACAATAAATAAAAGAAATCATTATTTGAAGAAATAACTATCTTAAGAATTCCTTTAATTTGTAGAATAATAAATATAGTATCACGAGGCATTAGGAGTTAACGCTAATACTGATTTACGCAAAAAAAAAAAATTCTGGATGAATTATTTAAATTTATTTATGTCTTTATCATTGTTATTTTTTTGCGCAAATCAGTACTAGCGCTGACTCCTAATGCCTCATGATGCTACATTTATTTTTATTCTCAAAAATATACAGCAAAAGTAGATTGTTTGAAAAATTTTGAGCCTCAATATGAAGATTATTACTCGTCAAAACTATTCTAATACTACAATCGTACATATTTTGCAAAATATCTGTGAAAATTGTAGCTATTTTGGACGCTCAGTTATTGTTTGAGAGTCATTTGTGTCAGTCGATGTAAGTGTTTTTTGATGAAAATCTGTGTCCCCTGAGCGTAACTTTGAGCCTAGGAAACAGGAAAAAGTCATTAGGAATCAGATCTGGTGAATACGATGGATAGTTAATTAATTCGAACCGCAATTCGTAAATTTTTGTTATGGCAATCGTCGATATTCGATTTTGTCCATTTTTACAAAAACACTGCACATCAACTGGCACAAATGACTGTCAAACAACAACTAGAGAGTAAGAGTAAGACATTGTTAGAGTGAAATAGTTTATATACAGGCGGATGGTATACTTTTCTTTCTCATAAAATTTTGACAAAATCCCTTATGATTAGATTTTGTTATAGGGTCTCTATAATGAATAATTACATTTTTTTTTTTTAGTCACATCTTTGTTTCCAATATTAAATAAAGACGAAATGGTTATTATGTTACACTGGCTACATTCGCTTTGCAGCTTTACAGCAGTTACAGCGCTTTAAGTGGGTGCTGGATCGACAGTCGAACTTGGTCGAAGTCGATAGTATAGACTTTTTTAAATTCCAAATTCAATGATAGTGACATTTTTCATTCATTTCTTATACTTATTATATATCGTTGTGTCTCGCTCAAACGCATTCATCTGTCCTTATCTAAGATATTGCAACGCCATCTGTTAGAAAGAGATCAACTAAAATACTACTTGGTTTCATGGCTTCACGTCAATTTTATTCGTAGCATATGAACGAAATTTTTGGCGACTCTTTTCTCTTATACTAAATCTCCGCTCATTTTTACAGGCATAGTATTGTCCTTTGAGATTTTCTGTAGACTGCTGGCTACTTATTTTAAACGAGTAAAATCTGAAACTCTTATATGCAAGCACATGTTGTGACGAATTAAATGTAAGAGCCGGTGACAAAACTACAATTTTTAATTTTCTTTTATTTTTCGTATTAAATTGTAGCTGGCAGCCAGTGTTATTGTCAATATTTTAATTGTGGAGAAGGATTTTTCGATCCGTAAGTGCAATTAAGAGAAACGAGTCGAGGAAAATTAATCACACTTCATTGGTAACATAGGACACTCCAGCATCCCTTTAAGGGATGTCCTGTTTTACCATTAATTACTAAAGACTCTTCTCTTAATTGTGTTTATGGAAAAGTCCTTCTTTTCTCACAATTAAAGTATTGACAACAACACTGGCTCCCAGCTACAATTTAATACGAAAAATGAAAGAAAATTAAAAAGTGTAGTTTTGTCGCCGGCTTCTGCAGTCAACTCATCACAATATGTGCTGCATATAAGAGTTTCAGATTTTACCGTTTAAAATAAGTAGCCAGCAGCCTACAGAAAACCTCGAAGAATAATACTATGCTTGTAGAAATGAGCTAGGAGCTTTAGTATAAGAGAAAAGAGTCGCCAAAAATTTCGTTCGTATGCTACGAATAAAATTGACGTGAAGCTATGAAACCGAACAGTATTTTAGTTGATCTCTTTTTAAAAGATGGAGTTGCAATATGTTAGATAAGAACAGATGAATGTGTTTGAGCGAGACACGATATATAATAAGTATAAGAAATACAAGATGTCACTATTATCGAATTTGGAATTTAAAAAAATCTGTACTATCGACTTTGATCAAGTTCGGCCGTCGATCCAGCATCCCCTTAAGTAATAGATGCGTTCAACAGAAGTTTTGCAACCGTTTTATGATCGTCTGCTGAACGGTCCTAGATGTACTCAGCGTCTCAATATGTTCATTCAGCGGTTATCATGATTTCCAGCAAAGTAAAGCTGCGTTGCTCAGAAGACAACAGTTTTGTAACTGTTTTATGATTTTAAAAATCACGCATGACTAGCCTTAACATTACAAGAATTATATTAAGAATCTTTATTTTAGACCGTATATGTGAGAACACAATCAATACTAGAAATTTTAAAATGCCTAATACGGTCAAAGCTGGATCTTCATTACTTTAAATAATTTAAACTTGAATTACTAATATATACTATATATGTACTTAGAAGAATTATTGTAAAGAATAAAAATTATTGTAAATTACAAGAATTATTGTAAAGAAATTGATGATCTTATTGTTCTCACAGATAAGATAGAAATTTGAACTCACACAGATAAGTTTTTACTGCTCTTGAGTGTTGGTTTTTATAATAATAATAAAAAACATGACTATATATTAAAAATATATTTTACAATTTTGAATTTTAACTTCTAAATACGACATTATAGAAATTGTGTGAGACAAATTCTTGATATCAAATTCTTTATTATTTTACGGAAAAATCTGGATGTATAACACAAGATAGGTTTAATCTTATAGGACGAAATGAGAGGATTGATTGAGACTACAAGAACTTCGTACAAGTATATGTAAAATTTATATGGCGTTAAATAATGTATGACTAAAAATAGACATTTTATAATTTTGTTCTGATATTGAAGATGACCTAATCAAAGGTCGAAACGTTTATCGTTATATTATTGTTATATATGAGAAATAGACTATTGCATTAATATCTTGCGTTGACTTTTATGCTCCTTGAATAATTATTTTGACTTAGTCGGAAAGTCGATATTGTATAAAATTCGTTTTATAATTATCTGCTGAACAGTCCTAAACGCACTTAACTTTTCAACATGTTTGTTCAGCGGTCGACATGATTTCCAGCAAAGTAAAATTATGCTGAAACAAACGAAACGTGTTGACCAAAATGGCTGCAAAGCGATTGCATCTCTTTATCAAATATCTAACCTTCATAATATTGTATTTCAGGATTTTATTGGATATGGGAATAAGTTCCACCCTTTTTTAATGAAAAAGATGTATTTATTTAAACAAAACAATACAAAGTAAGTTCATTCAAAGTATGCTCCATGAGAAGCGACAACTTTCCCCCACCTTTCAGGTAATAAACAGATTCCTCGAAGGAAGGAATCTGGTTCTTTTGAAGCGATCCATTTATCAAGCCATTTTTTGATATCTTCATAAGAATTGAATCGCTCTCCAAGAAAGGCCGATAGCATGGACCGGAACAAATGGAAATCTGAAGGAGCAATGTCCGGTGAATACGGCGGGTGGGGCAGAATTTCCCACTTCACTCCTTCCAAGTATTTCTTGACCGGTTTTGCAACGTGTGATATAGCGTTGTCACGTAGCAGAATCAGTTTATCGTGCCTATTGTCCCATTCCTATTGTTTTTGTTTCAAAGCTTAGTTCAAACAAATCGCTTCGAACGAATATCAACTACTGGGCTCAAAAGCTTGAACACACACCTTTCAAATACATGTATTGCCGTTTTATCAAACACACAAGCAGTGCTACTAACGACATCTCTCTAATGGGCGGAAACTTATTTTCCCATACCTAATATATATTTTTTTTACGAAAAATATAAATCATATTGCGGAATTTGGAGGTTAATTTTCGGATCTCTTTCGTGTTTCACTCAAAATTTCACACAGACTCGAAACAACACAGCACCAGAGAATAAGAGTGCTGTCCCATGACAGTTGGAATTTCGAAAAACGGAATCTCGGAAAAGTGATAGAGTGGGGATCAATCAATCAAAATTATTAAGATGCTTTACTTTTCGTCTGCATTTATACGTTAAATACAAGATTATCAAAATTGAATTTCTATTCGTTTCTATAAAAAAAAATTCATTATTAATAAACAATTGTTCGATAAGTATTCATTAAGGGGTAACGCCACTCTAGAGCTCGAAAAAAAAGACGTGTTTTTGATAATTTTTTATGGAGATACTATAAAGGAAATGGGAAATCTGTTTATAGGAGTTTATTATACATGTTCTGAAGTAAATAAAAAAATTGTTTAATTAACATTTTTAAACAAAATGGCGTTTACATGATACGAAACTCGAGACCGAAGGGGCTTCACGGCCGGAAAAGTTTCTCCCACAATTTTCAATCTGGAACAAAAAACCAAAATTTTTTGAAAACTATATATGATTGGCTACAAAAGTACGTAGGGGATTTTGAAAATATTGAATTTTGAAAAAATAATGTTTATCTGAAAAAAAATTAATTTTTCGATAAAAAAAATTTCACCGTAAATTGTTTATAACAAAAAAAGGTTGACAAAATATTTAAAAACTCCTACATACTTCTGTGTAAAATCATATATAATTTTCAAAAAATTTTAGTTTTTTGTTCCAGATTGAAAATTGTGAGAGAAACTTTTTCGACCGTGAGCCCCTTCGGTCTCGAGTTTCGTATCATGTAGCCGTCATTTTGTTTAAAAATGTTAATTAAAGATTTTTTTTATTTACTTCAAAACATGTATAATAAACTCCTATAAACAGATTTCCCATTTCCTTTATTGTATCTTCGTAAAAAATTATCAAAAACACGTCTTTATTTCGAGCTCTAGAGTGACGTTACCCCTTAATACACTGCTTAAAAAAATTATGGCATAGAAATATTGTGGGCAAAAATTGGCCAATTTTGGCTAACGATAACTTTGCGAAAAATTATCGTAGGATAACGTTTTTTTTTTTTAATTAAAGCTTGAAATCTTTTTTAAGACGCTATGGTCAGATTTTAAGTTTGAAGCACCCTTGCCATTGTAACTCTCAAAAATATGAGGGTGTTTGTCATATTGAAAATTGTAAAGTTTAACGGAATGCACGGACTTTGTAAAATTTTTTTAGGGAATGCCGTATGCAGCGACAAAGTTTAAACTTTCCTCTTTAATTAAAAAAAAACTAATCGCTGCGATTTTTTTTCGCAGTGTTACAGCACCTTAAAGTTACCCTTGTATTTTTTACATGTATCGACATTATCATTACCTGATATGTACCACGACAAGATTGCTGTCGGATTTTGCACAGCGTGTGTGTGCGTAAATTTCGGTAACGCGTGTTGCCTCCGCGTTGCTCGATTACTTCTTGCAGCCGATTCCTCATATTAATGCAAGCCCTAATTTCTTTCTGCGGAATTCCATTCCAGATTTGAACTAGGGTTGGGATAAGTTTTCGAGACTGACAGGTTGTCTTGCCAAATTTCGTAATTTACGAGCCATTATGTCCCATATGTGTTCTATGGGGTTCAAATCAGGACTGCAGGATGTGGAAAAAGTCTAATTGAACTTTCCGCCAAAAACTCGCGAGTAGTGGCTGCGGTATGCGGCCATGTGTTATCCTGCATAAAGAAAAAACTGGATTCATACTGCATCCGATTTACGTCGTATGACGCTCTGCAACCAATCAGAAAACAGGATTCCGATGATACGAAGCAAAATTTATCGGAATCCTGTTTTCTGATTGGTTGCAGAGCGTCATACGACGTAAATCGGATGCAGTGTGAATCTAGCAATAGCAGTCTCTGCACTCAGAGCGCTAGTCCACCCAGAGTGCTAATCTCACGCACTATATCATGGGAGTAGTTTAAATTTTATACTGTACCGAATGTCGCCAATGTCCGTGACAATCATTCACAATATTTGTGTGCAATAGTACGGTTTGAAAACACTTTCTACTCATATTTGTGTTGTATATACCATCCGAAGAACGTACTGAAATTTACGCACACACACGCTGTGCAAAATCCGACAGCAATCTTGTCGTGGTGCATATCAGGTAATGATAATGTCGATACATGTAAAAAATACAAGGGTAACTTTAAGGAGCTGTAACTTTGCGAAAAAAAATCGCAGCGACTCGTTTTTTTTTTAAATTAAAGGGGAAAGTTTGAACTTTATGTCGCAGCATACAGCATTCCCTAAAAAAATTTTACAAAGTCCGTGCATTCCGTTAAACTTTGCAATTTTCAATATGACAAACGCACCCTCATATTTTTGAGAGTTACAATGGCAGGGGTGCATCAAACTTAAAATCTGACCATAGCGTCTTAAAAAATAGATTTCAAGCTTTAATTTAAAAAAAAAAACATCCTACGATAATTTTTCGCAAAGTTATCGTTAGCCAAAGTTGGCCAATTTTTGCCCACAATTTTTCCATGTCATAATTTTTATTAGCAGTGTAGATAGATAGATAGATATATTTATTAGCGACTCCCCTCAGGGTTGCGCTCTTTTATACATACAATCACAATACGTAACAGTCTTATCCTACCCTTAACCTAATTCTTACATACTACTAAATCTTATCTCTAACTTAACGGCTATGTTCTCTCCCTCTCTCTGGGACTTCTGTTTCCTTTTGCCTTTCTTTTCTTATTCTTATTTCACTTCATTCCCCTCCCTACGGGGGTTTCGCCTCAGACGCCCTCCTCATTCACTCTCACACTCACTCTCCCCTCTTCTCCCCCCGCCTCTCCCCACCCTTTCCCCTTCATTCTCTCTTTCTCCCTCTCCCCTCCCCCCGCCTTTCCCCTCTCTCCTTTCTCTCCCCATCCACCCTCCTCAACCATTCCTCTCCCTCTCCCTGTTTCCCAACACCCATCCCATCACCATCTGCCAGCTCTCTGATCCCATCCCCCAGTCTCTACATCTCTCCCATACATGCTCCCAAGTCTCTTCCTCCCCTCCACACAGCCTACATACTCTCTTCCTCTTTTCCTCCCAATATAATCCTACCCTCATTTCGTTTCCTAACCTATATCTTATCATTCTCCACCTGCTTTCTCCCATCCCTTCTTCAAGTATTCCGGGATCCCTTCTGACCTAATTACCTCATACCAATTATTATACCTGGAATCCCTTATTTTCCCTCTTCTTTCCTTCCCTGTCTCTCTCTATCTTTCTTTACCAACTCTCCAAACCACATATCCCCCTCTTCCCTTCTCCTCTCAATCTCTCTTACATCCCACTCCCTGTTTTCAAAGAACTTCTTCCTTTCCTCTTCCCATTCTGATCCTATTCTGCCCTCTTCGCTTCTCTCTCTCATTTATCTCCAACATATCCTCGTCAGCTCACTTCCCTTTCCCCTCTCCAGCCTTTTTTCAAAACTCCAAACTCTTATCCTTGCTCTTTCTCTTAACTTATTTCTTTTAATTTCCTCCCTGATTAAATATCCCGGTGTCCTTCTGTCTAATCCGAAAACCCATATTAGATATCTTTCTTCTAGCCTTTCTACTTCCTCTCTTTCTTTCCATCCCCATACTTTTACCCCGTAACTTATTACCGTCCATATTAACTTGTCAAATAACCATATTCTTCTACTCCAGTCCTTTCCAAACCTCTTTCCAATTCCTCATACCTCCCCCATTATCATGGCCGCCTTCCTTGTGCTCTCCTTAATCTGTGCCTCTTGCTCTCCATTCCTCTATAACCTATATCCTAAGTATGTAAATTCCTTTACCTTTTCTATTCTCTTTCCTCTCCATCACCAATCCTTCTTGCTTATCCTTCCTTTTCCCTTTCTAAATCTCGTTATTTTGATCTTGTCTACATTCAGCTCTAATCCTTTCCTATCCAGATATTCCTCCATTCTACTTATCATGCTTCTCATCCCCTCCTCATCCTCCGCAAGCAACACGATATCGTCCACGCGCGTACGCTGGCGTATACACTTTATTATCTCCTAACCTTATTCCTCCACTTCACCTTTCCCATCTCTTCCTCCAAATCCGCTATCACAATGTTGAACAGCAATGGGCTCAACGGACACCCCTGTCTTACTCCCCCCCACCGCCCAGAAACTCTCCTGTCTTCTGCTCTCACCATGCTCTTTGTTTCGCTTAACGCTTCCTTTATCCTCCTAATCAGTCCCTCTCTTATCTCTCTTTCCCTCATTGCTTTCCACAGAACTCGCCTGTCCACTGAGTCGAACGTCGCTTTCAGATCTATGAACAACGCCACCACTTTTTTCCCTATTCCCAATTGTCTATTTACTAAATAGTTTATGACGTAAATGTTGTCCATAGTTCCCATTTCCCTTCTGAATTCTGTTTGGTTCTGCGGTATCACCTTCTTTTCCTTGCACTCTATATTTAATCTATTAACTAACACCATTATATATAGCTTGTACAACGTTGTCATTAAAGTTATTCTATATTCCCCTACTTTTCTTCCCTCTCCTTTCTTCACGATCGAGATTATTATTCCTTCTTTCCATTCCTCCGGCCATCCCTCCCCTCTCCATACCTTGTTACAAAATTCCACTATCCACTCTAACAACTTCTCCCCCCCCATATTTCCATACTTCCCCTGGCACTCCATCTATTCCTACCGCTTTCCCATCTTTAATCCTATTAATCACCTCCCTAATTTCCTCCTTGCTTATCTCCCTTTCTCCTCTTCCTTCCCTTATTAACAATTTCCCAGACGTCACTTTCTTTCTTAACTCGCTCTGCCTCCCTCAACTATTTCTCCTGCCCTCCCTTCGACTTTCTCCGTTGCCTTAGTTCCTCTCTTACCTCCCTCTTCTTTTTCCTGCATTCCTCATCCCACCATCCTCTTTTCCTTTCCTCTGTCTTTTCCTGCTCCTCTTCCATTTCTTTTAATGTTCCCTTAATACCCCTCTTCATTTCTCTCCAATCCTCTTCTATCCCAATCTCTTTCCTGCTTCCTATTCTGTTTTTCCCTGAATTTCTTTCTTCCCTCTTCATTCCACGTCACTCTTCCGATTTCTTGTCCTTTCCTTTTCCTTCTTCTATTAAATGACCTCTCCTTTGCCTCCACCCATATTTCCAGCGGGTGACGGTCCGAGTCGACTTTATCTCCTATCTTCATTTTCCTTATTCTTTCTTTTGCTTCCTCATCTCCCACTGCATAGTCAATCACCGTACTTCCCATACCCCCCGTGAGTATTTATTAATATAAGTATTCATTTTTTCTCTCAGCATATAAATATAACCATTCATAAGTTACAACAATTTTGGACCAACAAGCATGCAATTTTATCTCCAACAATATAAATAGTTATATTTATATACTGGAAAAATGAATATAATACTTCTGTATTAATGAATACTTAGAAAAAAATTATTTATTAATAATGAATTTCTTTTTATACGTTCAGAAATTCAATTTTTTGATAATCTCGTATTTAATGTATAATATATTTGCAGACGAACAGTAATGCATCCCAATAATTCTGATTAGTTGATCCCCACTCTATTATTTTTCCGAGATTCCGTTTCCCAAAATTTCGACCATCATGGAACAGCACTGTAAACCTGAAACGCAATATGAAGATTAGATATTTAATAAAGAGACGCAATCGCTTTGCAGCCATTTTGCTCAACACGTTTCATTTATGACTCAGTATACTTTTACTTTGCTGAAAAGCATGTCGGCTGCTAAACAAACATGTTAAAAAGTTGAATGCATTTAGGACTGTTCAGCAAATAATCATAAAATGGTTACAAAACTGTTGCCTTCTGTTGCGCAATTTTAGGGGCTCCGCATAATAAAAGGAACAGAGAACAGAGAATAAGAATTTCCTATCACAGAAATCATGTATTGTGGAATACGCAGTGTGTATTCCACAATACATGATTTCTGATAGGATGAAATTTGTATTCTCTGTTCTCTGTTCCTTGTCTCTTTTATTGTGCGGAGCCCCTTACTTTGCTGGAAATCATGGCGACCGCTGAATAAACATGTTGAGACGCTTATTGCATCTAGGATTGTTCAGTAGATATCACAAAACGGTTGTAAAACTGTTACGCATCTAATGGCTGTATTCAGCAGAAAAAGCAGCTTTGCAACTGTCGTGAAATTCTTTTATATGATTGGTTTATACATTTAGATCATAAGCAAAAATCAATATTCGTATTGGAGAATTTTACACTAGTTGCAAAGTTACTTTCTCTACTGAACGCAGTCTTTTTTTTTCTTGGCAATCAAATATTAAACAAGCAAAAGTGGTGCTATTACAAACGAAACGCTGTGAGCGCCAAAGCAAAGGCAATCATTTTCTCACTGGAAAGCATAAACAAATTTTATATAAATAAAAATTTGGAAAGATAAAAACAGATTATTTAATACAAAAATAATTTCTTTCGTATATAAAACTAAACGATCCAATAAGTAGTTTGTATTATTTATATTATACAGTGATGGGAGAAAGTTCGGCAATGGTCAAATATCTTGGAAAATAATGCTTATGGAAAAAAATGTTCAATACAAAAGTTTTAGTATATCAAGTGGTCTATTATATGGTTATGTTGAAATGACCTTCATGTGACCTTGAAGGACACCGTGAAGGTCAACTTTGAAATCTTAAATGGAAACACCTATTTTT